ATATTACAGAATTGTCTTCAAAAGAATTATGTAATACATTAAAGAAATAAATATTAAAAATTTGGGGGAAAGCTAGCTGTATATTGTACTGGAACCTTCAAATATGAGAAGACTTTAATTACCATCTGGATCATTTAGAGGTTGCATGCACTTTAGGACAAGTTATGTTACATGTCTGAACCTCTTTTTGGTCATCTTGGAAATGGGGACATTATCTCCTTCAGGAGTTGTTTTGAGGATTAAATGAGGATATATGTTTATCAACAATAATTTTTAATTTATAAAATAACGTTATAGATATAAAGAAGTAATAATACTAGCTTCCTGCTTGAAACCACAATTAATAGAGGTGGCTATCTTGAAGTCAGTGGAAGGAACAAGCTAACTATGGGCTTCAGTGGGACTGACATAGCCAACTCTGAGATTTAGAGCAAGGCCTTCTTCTCTTTGGTCATCACTTTTCTTACCTGTCATTAGATATCAGAATAGATATTAGAGTTAGATGAACTCTAAGAACTCTTCTAGGCCTGGAGAGCCTAAGTGTATTTCCTTTCACTGTCACTCTTATTATTTATTTATGGTGCAAGTAACAAAATAGAAGGGGAAATATAGTACATAATAGGATTGCACTGTAAGTTAACTCACAGTGAAGTTCTAAGGGTGTATAAAAGCTTCATTAGCACCTCTTTCCTTCTGAGGACTAGGCCTTCTGGTTAACTTTTTTTTTAAAAGATTTATTTATTTGTACATAGAGAACTGGGGTACAGGCCAGAGATGCGGAAGGTGAGAGGATTCACCAGAGACAGAGTGGGGAGCAGAACAGGCAGATCGAGGAAGTACACTGCTGAGGGGAGCAGCGGGCGGGTCAGAGGAGGTCTGCCGTGCCATGTGGAGCGCCTCCGGGGCAGGCGGGATCGAACTCATGCGGAAGTGGTTTAAGCTTCTTAGTGCAGTGCTTTAACCCCCTGCACCAACAGGGAGGGCCTCTTTTACCTTTTTTTAAGGTTTATTTATTTATGCATACAGAACTGGAGTGTAGGCCAGAGGTGTAGGAGGTGGTGGGATTCACCAGAGATAGAGCGGGGGAGCAGAACAGGCAGATTGACAAAGGACACTGCTGAGGCAAGCAGCGGGTGGGTCAAGAGAGGTCTGCCATGTGGGTCATCTCCGTGGCTGGGGATTGAATTTGTGCAGCAGTGGCTTTGGAGATCTTCATAATGTGGTGCTTTAACCCGTTGCGCCACCAGGGAGAGCCCACCCCTGACTTATTTTTAACACTGGGCTTAATGTCAGTTCTACTATCTCACTGGCATAAACTTAGATGTTATATTTAAAGCTTCCCCTCAATCCCACCACTCAAATTAATTTGCATGAACCTTATTGTACTGAATAAAAGTTATATGTTTGCCATTCATTGCTAACAAATTGATAGACACTAGCAGTGGGAGGCTGGGCTTTACATTGTTGAACTGAATATTATGGAATGAGAAGTAAGACTTTATAGATTCAGTTGCATAAATACATTTTAGATACATCACTTCCTTATAAGTACATTTCCCCATTTGTGTTGGAGAGCTTGTTTCATAAACTTGAATCAGAAGTGCTCTACAGACAGTGCATGCAAAGTGATTGTGAAAGACTTACCTACTATGCTTTTTTTCCTTATTCTGTTTCCTCTTGTTGGCTCTATTTTTTCAGTGTTGCATTTTTTCTCGTCTTGTTGTTTATAATAGTTCATGACCTTTGTGAAAAGAAAGTGATGACTTTTTGAAATCTAGTCGAAGGCTTATGCCCTGTGGCCTTACTGGTTCTACACTGTAAGGACTGGCTGCGGTATGATAGACCATAGAATTCAGGAGTTGAGAAGGTGGTTCACAGGTGAGGTGTTGATGGGAGATTGATGAGGATTACACCTAAAGGGAGAAGTCAGATATTGTATAAAAATGAAACACAATGTAAGAAAAACACCTAAAATAAAATAGGACTGAGGGCAAAGTTGACATATATTTATTTTAATTATCTACATATGGACTACATAGTTATAGTTAACTTTTTTTTAAAAAAGATTTATTTGTTCATACAGAACTGGGGTACAGGCCAGAGGCTCAGGGGTGGTGAAAGGCTTCACCAGAGACAGAGTGGGGA